ATCTTCCTGATACATGGCTTCCTAGCAACGTTTTGGGCCTTGGAGTTTCCGGGCTCTGCTTTTGCTGGATAGTTTTAAGCTGATGCGGATCACGAGCGAAGCCAGCGAGCGAAGCCATCCACCAAGGAGGATGGAGGTTTCCCTAGTCAAGAGCTAAGTGCCTGCCTGGCCAGGCGGGCTTCGTAGCAGAGAACAGCAAGGCGCTAAGGGTCCTTTCAATCGTGGAGCAGAGTTTTTCTTGCCATTTAATTGAGCTTTACCCAAAAGAGAAATGTGAACACTCAAGGGTGACTATCGACTAGCAAGCTTCATGAGCTGCTTGCTTGAAGCTTTTTCTGAAAATAATTCCTAGCAGAATTTGCAAGGGGTGCCAAGAAAGGACAGAATTCATGTCGGGTCTCCGATTCAGAGGAGCTTTTAGAACCAGGGAAAGACGTATTCCAGCTCCCTGTACTTGAGGAGAGAACTGGACGCTTGAACGTGGACAGGACGGCCTGCCTTCTTGGCGAGGAGAAAGCCTTCGGAACATGTCTTCAAAGGGCAACCTCTTGGCAAACAGAGACTGTGATTAAGGAGATATGTGGATAATTAGTAACCTGTCCTGGCAACTGAGGCTACAGCGGAACCCCAAAATTAGATGATAGAGGATTTAGAGAGGTATAAAGAGGACCGTGACCGGGATGGTATTCCGGGGGTCCAGAATGACAGACATCCAGGTCCAAACTGTGGAGGGCTACACCCCACTCCTTGATCACCCCCAATTTTTCTTACATTTTTTAAAATTAAGAAGTCCCCTCCAGTATCCAGGTTTTTTTTTAAGGCAGGGGGTTAGAGGACCCCAGCGCACCCTCCAAACAAGATAAAATCAACTCCTAGAGAGCCAGGGGGAGCAAAAGGGTGGGTGTTCCTTGGTGACCCAAGGAAAATAAGTTATTTAGGAACCGTGAAGGCTTCTGCTTCTCATTGTTCTCCTTTTCTTCCTTGCCCAGGAAGCATCTCATCGGTTTACGTTGCCCGTCGGCGGCGCCGAGGGATCCATCAAGCAGGAGAACTTTATTCTGGGTAGTTCGAAGTACGTATTTGGACCTTGGGAGGACCAAGGAAATTGCTTTGGAACCGTTGACCCCCCTGGTCGCTAAAGGCATGAGGCGAAGCCCTTGGAGCTCTTGCCTCAGGCCAGACGGTGAGGGAGGGAGAAGGTGACCTGGGGGATCCTGACCCAGCTGGCCTTCCTTTCCTCACCAAGGTCTCCTGCATCAGCAGAAATGGGCTCTCATATTTCATTCCTGGGAAGTCTTCTGCCGGTGGACCATAGCCTTTGAGTTGGCGTTATTAATTTGCTTCGGAAACTTCTGTTTGAAAACACCCATGTTCCTTTGTTGCCCTCTTGGCGTAAGGGGGGGTGTCTGCCATCATGTATTGTACTCCACCCTCCATATCTTAACTTCTTTCAAATCCCTTCACCTTTCAGCTGTAACTTTTTCCGGGTTTATTTTCTTGATTTCTTATTCCCAGTTATATTTAAAGTGTGGGATAGCCGGAGTGGCTTCTGTTCACATTGATACGTTTCTCCTTTGGTCTGTTCTGCCCATCCTGTGTTGTTTTCCACTCACTTTTGGTTTTGGATGGCATACCCCTTATGCATATGGCATTTTGGCCTGTCTTATCAATCATCAAGGTGATCAAATAACTAGAACCTATGAGAAAGAAAGTACAGAAGGATTCCCCATATCTGTGGGGGATTGGTTCCAAACCCCTGCAGATGTTGAAAACCATAATAACAAACGCTATGCATAACGTGATTTTTAAAAAATCCACCAAAAAATTATTTTCATCATGTATTACCAGAACTAGCCATTAGAGGGAGCCAAAGACCATGCTATTCCTCACCAACAAGACTATGTAGCATGTTCTCTGGCTCTCTCTAGTGGCCAGTTCTGGTAAATATATAATGAAAATATGCATTTCTAGTTTTAAGGGCTTCTTGCAAAAACACGTGGCACCCCTTTTAGCAAGGTGCTGCTTTTTTCTCTCTCCCTCCCCCCCCCATGCTCCTTTTTAAAAGGCTGCCTTCTTCAAGAGAAGACATCCGCTCTTAACAGCCCCAGTACATCAGCCTCCCTACAGATCTGGATCGGAGGCACCCTGAAGTACAGTACATCTGAATCATTGCAGTGTTAAAAAGCAGCATCTTGCTGTGTGACTTTCTCTACTCTGTTGCAATCGGCAAAATACGTTGTAAAACCAACTCAAAGAAGCTGGTGTCCCTTTTGCTGTGCAAAGGGTAACACGCCCATGCCAATAATAAGGCGCAAAATTCATTTCCTATCCAAACCTTTCCCGTAGCAAAATTGCCCAGAAATTGTGCAGAGCAGGTACACGAACCCCCTCCTCCAATTAACTGTAGAATTCTCCTAATCTTTGTCTGAACCACAAGATGAGTTAAGAAGAGGATGATGGAGGAAAGTTCTGCACTCATTGACCTGTTTTGTGTGTGACAGAGGGCAGCCTGTCCGCCATAATCAGGCCCTTCACGACACCCCGTTTATCTTCCTGGTCCTGTTATGCACACAAAGCCGACGTCTGTCTAAATAACAAACAGAGCTTCAGTTGGCTGAATCAGGTTTGCCCGGATTATCCAAGGTTATTGCTTGCAATGGTTATCAGTCACGAGGCAACAAATTAGTCCTTGGGAGCTTGTGAAGGAGGGTGGGTTGTCCTAAAATCAGAATACTGGGACCACCAGTTCTCTCTGCCATTTTTGTTGTTGTGGGCTGTCAAGTCACTCCCGATTTAACAGCGGCCCTACAAATGAGCGATCTCCCAAATGCCTTGTCCTCAACCGCCCACCTCCGTTTTTGCTGACTCAAGCTTGTGGCTTCCGGGGATCAATCCCTCTCACATTGGCTCCTCCTCTTTTCCTGCTGCCCTCCGCCTTTCCCAGCATTAACTGCACTGCCTTTTATTTCAGTGTTGACCAGGTCAAAGGAATCCTGACCCTTCAGGCTGATGCCCTCTGCCAGGCAGTAAGTATTGGCTGCTTTCCCTTGTCTATGTCGCTAGAGAGCGAGTCGCTCCCGGATTAACGAGGCAGATGAAACCTGACATCCCCCAACCCTTCTTAGTCCATCATCAGATCATCTACAGAGAGCTCTTTAGAGAAGCGTCAGACAGCCACTTCTCATGGGGTTCCCCCCCCCAACTTTGCCTGGCCATTTTATCATTTTAAGATGAAGCACCGCTTTCCCTTGGCATTGGCACTCGAAATTTTTATTCTATTTTTATTCCATGGCTTGATTTTTCTTATTATTATTTTAGCTTGTTAACGGCTCGGAACAGTTCAGCAAATATGTGAAGAGCTGTCATAGGGGAAAGGAAATCAGCTTGTTTTATGCTGCTCAAGAGAGAAAGACCAGAATAAACGTTTTAAATTACAAGAAAGCAGAATTCAGTTCAATATTAGGGAGAAACCCTTGGTCAGAAGGGTACGGATTTTCCTTTACTGGAGATTTTTAAGGACAGGGGTTTGATAGCCAACTAACAGGGTTGTGTTGATGGTGACCTTCTTACCTTAGCCAGGAATGAGTAGCTCTTGGGGGGGGTCCATTCCAACTCTACAATTCCATGATTCCATGACTTCTGGAATCCTTACTTCCATACTGTGTAGTGGTGTGAACCAAGAAGTGGTACAAAGATGATTGTTATCAACAGAGTGAGGAACACAGTGACCAGATGACCACTGTGCCTGCTGGCCAGTCTTTGTGCAGGTGGTAACTCCTGGTGAGCAGCTTCAGGAACTCTGCCTAAATACTTTGTCGGTCTTAATTTTGAAACAGGACTTGAACTGGCCAGCTCTTCATGGGGAACACAGCTTCCTAAGTAGCGGTGGTTCTTCCTAACTTTGGACTTCAACTTCCAGAAGCTTCCGCCTGTACAGCCCATGGCCAGAGATTCTGAGAGTTGAGGGCTGATACATGTGGACAATCAGAACTTCAGAACCACTTGCGTAGAGGACTGTTATCTGAAAAAGCAGGGCGTATGGCCACACTGAGGTGGACTGCCATCTCGTTTCCTCTATGGAAAATCAAGGGGTGATTACGAAGGAGAAACAAAGCCAGCTCTGGACACCGCGCTTTAAGAAGGATGTCAACAAACTGGAGCAGGTTCAGAAGAGGTCAACAAGGATGATGATCAGGGGACTGGAAACCGAGCCCTAGGAGGAAAGACTGAAAGATCTGGGCATCTTTAGCCTTGAGAAAAAAGAAGACGGAGAGGAGAGCACTTTTCAAAGGGTCAGGATCTATTCTCGCTCATCCCAGGGTACAGGACATGCAACAATGGGCTCAAGTGATAGGAAGCCGGATTTAGGCTGAATAGCGGGGGGGGGGACTTATTAACTGTTAGAGCAACACGACAACAGAACCCATGACCTCGGGAGGTGCTCCAGTGCTGGAGGCCTTCAAGAGAAAATGGGACACCCCCCCCTCTGCCCGACTTGGATTCCTGCCCTGCGCCCGGGGGTTGGCCTGAGAAGCCCCTTCCCACGCCTTGATTCTCGGATCCTCTCTCTTTCTATTTCCCCTCCTCTGGGGTTCTCGTCTCCAACCTTTGCTCCTTTCTCTCTCTCTCTCACGGACCTGCATTATACGAACGAAACCTACAGTACAGAATTCC